GGACTCAGTGATCCTCCTGTTTACAGCCTCTGAAGAGCTGGGATTAAGTCTCAGCGTGCCCCGGGGCGGAGCCTGCAGGCAGGCCTGGGAATCAAACCCCTGGCCCCTGCACCTACTTTTAGGTGCTTTAATCCACTGAGCTATTTGGCTCTCTACTTTTAGTCTTAAAAAAAAAAAACTGTCAGGTTTCTTGATATTTGAATAGCACATTTGTATTTTGAAATTTTTAATGGGTTGTACTGGAAAGTCAGGGTGTTTGACATGGGAAGTAGACTTTGCTTTCCTCTTTAAAGTTCTTCAGACATGGTCCTTGCTTCTCAGGTGTGGAAGAGGTCTTTCATGGGGTGACACAGTAATGCCACTGCCTGAGGATAGTTTTGAATAAAGAAGTCACCAGTGTGCAGAAAAGTCAGCACCCTGTTAGGAGTCTGCCAGAGACTGGTGGAGGTCTGATTTGTATTCCAGCATCAGGTCCTGTAAACAACCAGACAGAAAGGACTTGGAGGAAAGAAGGAAAATCCGGTGAGCTGTGTCCTCCGCTGTTAGGGTCCCAGTTACACACAGGACCTGGCATAGCTGGGGAACATAAGGAGAAATATTCATTCCCCCACACGTGCCAGAAGATGAGCTGGTGGTGATCGAACTGTGGCATCTGCAGGGCATTAGAATGAATAGGGTCATGGTTATCAGACCAACTTGGGCAGTTCCTCCTAGCTGTTCTCAAGGACTACTAGAAAATCCGTCCCTGTGTCTGTGTACAGAGGGGAATAAAGGAACAGCTTCCAGCTTGTAAAGTGTCTTGTAAAATAACAGAAAGCTTCTAGCTCTTGTTTAAAGGTTATTAGGAAGAGAATTCACAACGAGCTTGTTTTCTACTTGTTTTGCACAGGCAGCACAGCCCATGCCTTGCCTTGTTTTCTTTCTAGGCAAATAGGGGACTTTGTGAGGATTGGGAGAGACAGCCTAAGAAATCCCTAGCCTGTCAGTCTAAAGTGAATTAGGTGATGGGCAAAAGGCCGTGTGGAGCTCATCTGTTAGGACAGATTTGCTTTTGTGTGTTAAAAGGCAAGGCTGACCTGTAGCCTTTTAAGAAATGTGTGAGACATTCTCTGCAGTGTTGTGTGTTTTCTTCATTGATACTTCTGGAAGAAAATCACTGAGTTAAAGTAAATGGGGGGGGGG